TTGAATTTCTGGCAGTTCCCTGTCGATGTATTGTTGTAACCGATTTTGAATGACCTTCAGCAAAATTTTCCTTGTGTGTGATATTAATGATATTATTCGATAATTTCTACATTCTGTTGGATCACCTTTCTTTGGAATGGGCACAAATATGGATTTCTTCCAATCGATTGGCCAGGTAGCTGTCTTCCAAATTTCTTGGCATAGACAAGTGAGCAACCCCAACACTGTATCCACTTGTTGAAACATCTCAGTTGCTATTCTTTCAATTCCTGGAGCCTTGTCTTGTGCTAATGCTTTCAGCGCAGTTTGAACTTCTTCCTTCAGTACCGTCCGTTCTTGATCATCTGCTACCTTCTTTAATGGTTAAACACTGATGAATTCTTTTTGTTACAGTGACTCTGTATTCCTTCCATCTTCTTTTGATGTTTCCTGCGTTGTTCAATTTTTTGCTCATAAAATCCTTCAATATTGCAACTTGAGACTTGAATTTTTTCTTCAGTTTTTTCAGCTTGAGAAATGCCAAGCATCTTCCTTCCTTTTGGTTTTCTAGCTCCAGGGCTTTGCACATTTCATTATAATACTTTGTCTTCTCAAGCCATCCTCTGAAATCTTCTATACAGCTCTTTTACTTCATTGTTTCTTCTGTTCACTTTAGCTACTTTATGTTCAACAGCAAGTTTCCGAGTCTCTTCTGAAATCCATTTTGGTCTTTTTTTTCTGTCTTATTAACGACTTTTTGCTTTCTTCATGTCAGTCTGTCATACTGTGGTGGCTTGCGTGTTGCTGTGATGGTAGAAGCTATGTCACCAGTATTTCAAATACCACTATGGTCACCTGTGGTGGACAGATTTCAGCAAAGCTTCCAGACTAAGATTAGCAATAATGATCTTTCGATCTACTTGTGAAAAAACTATCCAGTGGAAACCTTACGAATAGCAGTGGAACGTTGTCTCATAGAGTGCAGGAAGATGAGTCCCTTAGGTTGGAAGGTACTCAAAATACAACAGGGGAAGAACTGCCTCCTCATAATGGAGTCGACCTTAATGACATGGATGGAGTAAAGCTTTTGGGACCTTCATTTGCTGATATGGCACTACTCAAAATGAGAAAAAAGAGCTGCCAACATCCATCAGTAATCGGAACATGGAATGTACGAAGTATGAATCAAGGAAAATTGGAAGTTGTCAAAAATGAAATGGAACACTTGATGATTGATATCCTAGGCATTGTTGTGGTTGTTGTTAGGTGCCGTCCATTGGTTCCAACTCATAGCGACCCTATGTACAACAGAACGAAACACTGCCTGGTCTTATGCCATCCTCACAATCATTGTTACGCTTGAGCCCATTGTTGCAGCCACTGTGTCAATCCATCTCATTGAGGGTCTTCCTCTTTTTTGCTCACCCTCTGCTTTACCAAGCATGGTGTCCTTCTCCAGGGATTGGTCCCTCCTGATAACATGTACAAAGTATGTGAGAAGAAGTCTTGCCATCCTCCCTTCTAAGGAGCACTCTGGCTGTACTTCTTCCAAGACAGATTTGTTTGCTCTTTGGGCAGTCCATGTTATGTTCATTATTCTTCACCAACACCATCAATTCTTCTTTGGTCCTCCTTATTCATTGTCCACCTTTCACATGCATATGAAGTGATTGAAAACACCATGGCTTGGGTCAGGTGCACCTTTGTCCTCAAAGTGACATGTTTGCTTTTTAACACTTTAAAGAGAGATTTTACAGCAGACTGCTGCTTCCATGCGGGGTGATTAAGACAGTGTGGCACTGGTGCAGGGATCTACAGATCCACCAGTGGAATAGAACAGAAACTTCAGAAATAGTCATGCATATCTACAGCAGTGGAATATCAGTGCAGTGGGTAAAAGGAAAAGCTTTTTAAATAAATGACTGGAAAAAATGGTTATCCATACAGAAAAAGACAAAATTTGATCCTTACTTCACACCATATATAAAAAATTCAACTCCAGATGGATTGAGGACTTATACGTCAAAAACAAAAATTTGAAACGCTTAGTAATAAATACAGTAAATACTCGTTTAGACATTGTGGCAAGGAAAGATTTCTTAAAACAAAATTAAACCAAAAAACCAAAACCTGTTGCCGTCAAATCGATTCCGACTCATAGCAATCCTACGTAACACTGACTAAAACAAAAAGATTGATAACATCGGTCCTATTAAAATGAACAAGTTCTGTTCTCTAAAAGACACCTTTAAAAAACTGGATTGGCATAACAGTTTATAAAGACAGTGTTCTACATTCTACCTTGGTGAATAGCATCTGGGGTCTTAAAAGCCTGTGAGCGGCCATCTAAGATACTCCACTGGTCTCACCCCTTTGGGAGCAAGGGAGAATGAAGAGAACAGGATACAAAGAAAAGATTAGTCCAAAGGACTAATGGACCACAGCTTCCACGGCCTCCACCAGACTGAGTCCAGGACAGCTAGATGGTGCCCGGCTACCACCACTGACGGCTCTGACCAGGATCACAACAGAGGGTTCTGGACAGAGCTGGAGAAGGATGTAGAGCATAATTCTAACTCACAAAAAAAGAGACCAGATTTACTGGCCTGACAGAGACTGGAGAAACCCCGAGAGCATGGTCCCCAGACACCATTTTAGCTCAGTGGTGAAGTCACTCCCAAAGTTCACCATTCAACCGAGGATTGGACAGCCCCATAAAACAAAACGGGACTAATGGGGCACAATAGTCCAGGGACAAGGACTAGAAGGCAGGAGGGGACAGGAAAACTGGTGATAGGGAACCCAAGGTTAAGAAGGGACAGTGTTGACATGTCCTGGGGTTGTTAACCTTTGTCATAGGACAATATGTGTACTAACTGTTTAATGAGAAACTATTCTGTAAATCTTCATCTAAATAAATAAATAAATAAAACGAAAGAATTATCTATGTGAAATCAAATTGACAATAGCAACTCAGGGGTTTTGATGGGAAGTCTAGGGGGCAGTGAGTTGAAGACAATGGTGATGGAATAATTTGGAAAGGGATAGTGAGAATAGCGGCACAACTGGAAGAATGTAACCGATGTCACTGAAGTGTACATGTAGAAATATTTGAAATTGTGTAACTTTGGCTATGTACATTTTCACCAAAAAAAAAAAAAAAAGGTCCTCCAAGGTCAGGAAGGGAGTGTTGACATGTCATGGGGTTGTTAACCAATGTCATAAAACAATATGTGTACTGACTGTTCAATGAGAAACTATTTGTTCTGTAAACCTTCATCTAAAGTACAATAAAAAAATGTAAAAAAAAACAAAACTGGAAACACAAGTTACAAACTGGGAGAAGCTACTAACGATAGAAGCTGTGAGTACAGACACCCTACAGGAAAATGGGCAAAGGTGAGCAGACATTTCACAGAGGAGGACGTGTGCACAACCAACACACACGCGCTGAGATACTGAATCCCAGGAATCAGTGAAGCGCGGCTCAAGACCACAACAAGATGCTTCCTTCGACCCACTCGACTGGCGAAGATTGGGAGGCGTGACCACTCCAAGGGTGGGTGATTCTGTGGTCCCTTTCGAGCTCCTGTACATCCTTGGTGGGAGTAGAAAGTATTCCAAGCACTTTCGAAAACAGTTGTTATCTCTTAAAATTGAACACCCACTTCTCCTGTGATCTAGCAATTCCATCCCTAGGTATATATGCAGGAGAAACTCTCGCGCATGTGTAACGAGGGGCACGTATCAGAACGTTCATAGCGGCACAGGTCACAAGAGCAAAACCTGGAAACAATCTAACTGCACAGCCAAGGAAAGCAGTGGTGATACATTCACACAAAAGAATGCGCCACAGTGTGACCTACAATGACATAGGCGAATCTTAGCAATGTGAGAAGCAGTGAGAACCTGAGTCCCCAAATAATGCATAATATGATGTGCTTCTTAAAAAGTGAAAGCACCCCAAATTAGCAATTAGCTTTATTGCATAAAGTGGGAGACAATATTTGCAACACAAAATTAACGGAAAAGGACAAGCGCCCAGGGCAGACAGCGCTCCTGTAAATCAGTAAGTAAGGACAGATGACGCTGTGGCAATTGGACAAAAGATCTGAGCAGGTTCTTTCCAGGAGAGGAAACCAGATGGCCAACGAACGTCTGAAAACAGGTGCATTTAGACAACATGACTAGACAAAAGCAAAAGGGCTATCCCCCGCTCCGCTGCACAGGTGTGCCCCCACGACCCCGGCGCTCCCCTAGGATGGCCCCTGTAGGATGGCCCCGGTGTTCCAGGAGACACCTTTTTATAAAAGTACAACTGGGAACACTTGAATCGGGATGGTGGGTGCCCAGCAGTAGGGCCAATAGGCCTTGCTGACCGGAAGGATGTGGGGTGAAGGGCAGCCAGGCTGGTGTCAGCCTCCAAGCGCACTGTGGGCTCTGCAAGCCCCTGTGGCTGGGGCCAGCCCCCCGGCAGGACAACCTATTCATGCGTCCCCCAACAATCACGGGCTGTGCAGCTACGCCACGCAGGCACGGCCCCAGATGCTGGGATGCAAGGTGAAGACAGCTGTAGGAACCCCTATCCCAAGGACCTTACAGTCTAGTGGGGACAGAAAACCGACAGACAGACGGACAGCATACGTGGATGTTACAAAGAAGACACAAAGCTGGCAGAGGCCTTGGGTCTGGGAGGGTGACAGCGAAAGGGAACAGTGTTCCTGGGAGGGACAAAAGTGCACATACCCGGTCTCCTGGGGCAGACAAGGTGGGGAGTGGGTTTGCCCGTGTCTCCCACGGACGCTCTCTGAGCCCCTGCCAGTACAAACACCGCCCTGACCTCGGCATTCCGCTGCAGCAGCGACGGTACCCAGGGCCCCCACCTGGGTCTGAGCTGAGCAGACCAGCCGAGCCGGGGGCGGTGAGGGGCAGCCGCCCCATCAAGCTTCAAAAACCAGAACTCACAGCCCAGCGGTCACTGCCCCGGCCCCCGTGGCCTTGGGCGCTGCTGGGATGGCTACTCAAACTCTGATAGCACTAGCCTCCAGGAGGCAGCAAGACGGAGGTGACCGCTGGGTCATCAGAGGGAACCCTGAGACCCCAAGAGGGAAGAGCCCACGGCTGCTAGGGGGCCGCTGGGACTGCTGCGGGGGGCCCAGGTCCCTGAGTCCCAGCGGCAGTTCCACGCCGGCCGGCTCACACCGGGACCGACGCCCTGTGCCGGCCCAGACGGGTGCGCGCCTCCAAACCCTGCCCCAGCTCTGGCCAGCGTTCCGACGGGGACGCTCCCGGCCGGCGCCCAGAGCCCAGGACAGGTGGGTCTCAGCCCCCCTGGGGACACGACGCGGACACCCCCACGCTCCCCCGCAGCTGTTACCTGGCGCTCTGGGCGGCTGAAATAAAGAGCCCTCCACCGCCTTCCCGCCGCGGGGCGTGGCCGCCAGTGGGTGCGCCTTTAATGCGTTTGGCTCCAGGGGCCTCGCAGACGCTGCTTTGGCCACCGCGGCCCTCGAGGCCTGACCGTCTACGCGCTGGAAGTGGAAGGCCGGGAGCGCTATCCTCCCGCCCGGCGCGGGGCCGCCGGCCCGCGGCGCGCAGCTCCGCTCGGACGGCCGCCGTAGGGGCGCAGGTAAGGTGCATGAAAGTACCTTGTCGTCTCTCAGTCTCAAGGCCTGCGGGGGCGTGGCTCGGGGCAGTCCTCGCGCCGGGTCCGGAATGGCCGAAGGGCACTTCCCTTTTAGCAGCTGGGTACCTGAGAGCGGCATGGCGAAGTGACAGTTGCAGATGGGAGAGCTTTGCTTCCTGGCCTTCCTGAAGCTGACGCCTTCCACGCAGAGGTCCGACCCGCTGAACGGCGGCAGCTCCACCGTTGGCTGGGGAGGGGGCGGCAGTCAAGGGCGCTGGCTGTGACAGGGGTGCTCAACCCAAACTAAACTAGTCGCTGTGGCGTCCACCCTGACTCAGGGCGACCCCATGAGTGTCAGAGTAGAACTGTGCTCCATAGGGTTTTCCGCGGCTGATTTTTTGGAAGCAGATCACCAGGCCTTTCTTCTGAGGTGCCTCTGAGTGGACTAGAACCGCCAACCTTTCAGTCAGTAGTTGAGAGCTTAACTGTTTGTGCCACCCAGGGACTCCTGATCCCCCCCAGCCTATGGGAAAAGGAAGCCCTCCAGGCAGGAAGCAAATCTCCTGCCACCAAAAGGGCGGCCCGCACCCAGGGACCACACGTCCCTCCCTATAGCTCTGAGGGGCCAGTACAAAGGTCACAAACAGGCACCTGGCCACACTCACGATGGCTTGGCCGCCTGCAGGGGCCTCTGTCAGGGAGACCTAAAGTGTCCTCTAGGAGCAGGGCCCGCCCCAGGGACTTGCGGTCCAGCAGCATAGCCAGGCCACGAGGGGCAGGCGCTGCACAGCAGCACCAGGATGGCCAGGGTTCAAAGGCTGCGTATGGCAGCCACTGAGCCCCAAGCAGGGCTCCGGGGAGAGGAGGGGCTCTGGGCTGACCCTGAAGGGGGACGTGGTGTTCACACATGGACAGGACCTGTGGGTCTGGAATAGACAGTCCAGAAGGGCTGGAGGCTGAGGCGCGTCCAGGCCACCCCCATCCCCTTGGCTATGGAGTCAGGCAGCGGGGATGAGCAGAGAAGGCCAGGCACGCAGGTGACTGGGGCTGATGACAGGTGACTGCAGCTGATGACAGGCGACTGGGGCTGATAACAGGCCCCCAGGACCACCCGAGGCCATTCCTTCGCTTATTTCAGCTGAGGCATGCAGCCCGCGGTGAGAGAGGCCGGTGTCACGCTCAGTGCTCGGCCCAGGCCCTCCAATGTGCTCACCTGGCCCACGGGACATGACACAGTCCATGTCCTCTGTGGCCCAGCTGGCTGGCAGCCAGCAGCTCTGTCCTATCCCAGTGACCGGGGGCAGGGGAGTCCATACCACCTGAGCTGTAAGGCAGAGCCCCAGAAGAGAGCCTCAGGGGTCCAGAGCCGGAGGCAGGTGCCCACTCACCTGTCTTCCACTCACCTGTCTCCCTCTCACCTGTCTCCCACTCACCTGTCTCCAGAGCAGCTCAAAGTTGCCGATGTCACAGTTTCGGTCGAGCTTGCGGTCCACCACCACCTTGATGGTGTCTTCCTGCACCTGGGCACAGAGCTGGGCAGTGACGGGCGTGGAGGGGTGCATGGTAGGGCTGGAGTTGATCTCAATGAGCCAGGGTCTAAAGTCCTTGCTGAGGATGAAGTCCGCGCCATAGAGCTCGAAGCTGTTCTTGCGGGCCTCCACGTGGTCCTGGGCCACCTTCATGGTGTTGGTGATGGCCCTCTTCATGGACGGGTAGATGACGCTGCTCCAGAGGGTGCCACGGCCCCGGCGCTGCAGGTACTCCTGGAACTTGGTGCTGGTCCACATGTTGTGGCATGGCAGCAGTGGGCTGCGGTCCTTGGCGTTCTTGAGATGCTTCTGGATGGAGTTGTTGCACAGGTGGATGGCACTGTGGGGGACAGGGCATCAGGGACCTGTCTCCAGGGAGGACCTGCCCCAGGAGGGGCTCAGGCTGAGGGAGGCAGGCCCCCATCAGCTCCTCTGCCCAGGAAGCAGCCTGGGACAGCCCTTTGTCTGGCTGGGGGGACACCAGGGACTGTACCAGGGAGGTGGACAGAGCAGGGTAGGAGCCCACAGAAAAATAAAATAAAATAAAATAAAAAACAGTTGCTATTGAGTCCACCCTGACTCATGATGACCCTGTGTGCGTCAGAGCAGAACCGTGCTCCACAGCGTTTTCAGTGGCTGATTTCTCAGAAGTACACAGCCAGGCCTTTCTTCCAAGGTGCCTCTGGGTGGACTTGAACCATCAGCCTTTCAGTTAGCAGCCAAGCATAACAACCGTTTGCACCATCCCGGGACTCCTAGAAGCCTATGAGGCTGGTGCACCGACCAGGAGCCTCTGGCAAGTAGCGACCTCCTGGAGGCTCAGTTTCTCTGTCTGGAGGGCTTCAGCCCCAGTGCTGCCAGCGCCATCTCAGCACCTCTGGTCCTGGCCCTGGCAGGCACCCCCTCACATCTTAGGGGCTGTGGCGGTGGGTGGGGCTCCCAGGGCTTGACTGAGTCTCCCTGGGAGCCACTTCAGCCACTTCCTCGGTCCTACAGGCCACCTCGTCAGAGGCTGCCCCCACTGCTCAGCAGCTCAGACAGCCAACAATTGCTGTGGCTCCGCACCTGAGGGACCCCACGGGTCATCGGGGCTCCCCAAGGGAGGGCCCAATTGCTGCACAGTCCATTGCAGGGGCTACGGGCCATGCCCAGCTACTGAGAGGCTGGAGGGGCTGCACAGGGCAGAGGGGCTGTGCCCACCTGAGGCCCTGGAGGAACTGGCACCTCTCCCTCCACGGAGCGTCCTGAGCCTCACGGGCCCCGGGAGCACAGGGCAGCCCACAGAGCGTGCAGACCCAGGCCCAGCAGCGGGCCACTCACTCTCTGGCCGGGGCACAGCACCTCCCACCAGGCGGCCCAAGCCTTTGCTGGGCTGTGCAGTAGGTGGCTGGCCCATCGCGGGCTCTTGGCGCCTCTGACAGACGTTCTGCGGGAAGTGCGCAGCGTGGGGTGAGGAGCACCAGCTTTGGTGCCTGCGTTTCCCCCCTGTGCCCCTCTTGCAGCGGCCCGGCCCACCTACCTGTCCAGGTTGTCCAGGGAAAAGCGCTGCGTGGAGAAACGCAGGTAGCTTTCCTTGTAGAACCAGATGGTCAGGGGGTTCCAGTCCGTAACGAGAAACCACTGCCGGATGTCGAACTTGGTGTCGTAGATGAGCAGCGGCGTCTCGATGTACTTCTGGGCTACCCACCTGTTGTCCTTGGCAGAGACCTGGTCTCCGGCCACCAGCTCCAGGATCTCCTCCACGCGGTCCATGCACACGATGTCTGCAAGATGGCACCATCAGCCAAGCACGCAGCCACCTGGGGTGGCCCACATCGTACCTGGCACCACACGCCTCCTGGGTCAGGGACCAGGAGGCAGGATGGCTGGGCTGGGGGTGGGGAGGCCACCCACCGGGGCCAGCTCCAAAGTAGACACAGTCTCAGGGATGGGAGCAGTGGCTGAGCACCAGCTGGATGCCATGCTCTGCGATGTGGTGTGAACAGGACAGGGGCTCTCACAGGGCTCACAGACTGGCCACCAGGCAGGGATGGGGGATCCAGGGGGCCTGGGTTCTGGTGAGGCCAGGGACTAAAGGGTGCTTTGATGAGTGGGAGGAAGGGCAGGATCGGGGGACATTTGCTCCCCCGACTTGCGTAGGAGGAGCACAACCTCCCACCCCCATCAGACTCAGACATGCCACGGGGTGAGTGGTAGCGGGTGACACGTGGCAGAAGCATCTCTGTACTGTAGCATTTCATGCCAGCAGCAGACCCTCAGCCCTCTCCTCCCCTGCGGTGACAACCTGAAGCTTCAGTGGAAAGGTCACAGATGGTGTGTGGGGGGACAGTGATGGGCAGACCCCCCCGCCATCCTCCCAGGCCAACCCACAATGGATGACAAGCATGACGGTGGTGAAAGCTACCAGGCTTTGGGGCTGTTTTTGACGCGACACAGTCTGGCCTCTCCTGGCTGATGCAGGGGTGGAGGGGAGCTCCGTCCACCAGGGCCCAGAGGCATGGGACACGAGGGGGCTCTCCCTGCACAGGTATCTCAGGTGCTTTCCTGGGTTTGTTTTCCTTACCATTGAGTTGGCTCAGACTCATGGCGACCTCATGTATAACAGAACAAAACACTGCCTGCTCCTAAGCCATCTTCAAGGAGCCCTGGTGGCACAGTGGTTAAAGTGCTCAGCTGCTAACCAAAAGGTCAGTGGTTCAAACCCGCCAGCTGCTCCTTGGGAGCAGGATGTGGCAGTCTGTTTCCTTAATGATTTACAGCCTTGGAAACCTTATGGGAAGTACTACTCTGTCCTATAGGGTTGTTATGAGTCGGAATTGACTCAACAGCAGTGGATTTGGTTTTTTCGGTTCTATGTCATTGTCACGACCATTGCTGTGCTTGAGCCCATTGTTGTATCTGCTGTGTCAATCCATCTCGTTGAGGGTTTCCTTCATTTTGCTGACCCTCTACCACCGTGATGTCTTTTTCTAGTGATTAGTCCTTCCTGATATGTCCAAAGTAAGCGAGCTGAAATCTCACCATCCTGGCTTGTAAGGAGCATTCTGGTTGTATTTCTTCTAAAACAGATTTGTTTGTTCTTCTGGCAGCCCTCGGTATATTCAATATTCTTTGCCAAGACCACAGTTCTAATGCGCTCAATTCTCCTTCGATCTTCCTTTCTCATGGTCCAGCTTTCGCGTGCACATGAGGTGCTTCTCCAGGACCTACGCATCCCAAACGTCAGCGTAAGCACGCCCAGTCCCTCCTCCAGAGTCAGACCGGCAGGTCCTGTTGTGAAGGTGGGACACCGTCTTCGGGCTGCATTCTTCTCCCGTCATGAAGTCAAAACTCTCCTCTGCAGCAATGATTTGAAATTAAAGAAGCTTCACAGTATAAGACGTTACTGTACTAAGTTGTAGTCGGTTGCAACCGGGTCATCCTGAAATGGGAGCCTGGGACAAAGCAACAAACCACTGAGGTTCCCACACCCACGTGGCGGGCCCAGCCAGAGGCCGGCAGAGAGCGCCAGGCACTGGGCTGGCTGGGCGCCTACGGGGAGGCGCACTCTCACGCTTCCTGAGAAGAGAGTCTAAGTGTCACTGGGTGCTGCCAGGAATAATGGAGAGAACAGTAAACTGAGGCAGGGGAGGGCCTGGCGGGCAGAAGGGAGGGCAAGGAAGTGGAGTAGGGGGCAGGTGGCACCCCCATCTGGCACAACTCCTGGGTTTCCACCTGATGGATGCCCAGGACCCCTGGGAGGAGAGGGTTGAGGTCAGGGGAGGGGAGGGACAAATGAAAGGAATCCACTCCTTGGTCTGTTTCTGACTTGTTTCAAAGGAAGTGAGCAGTTTGCATGTGCGGCCAGAAAGACCAGCCAGGTAGAGACTGGTCCAGGAGAGACTGGTCAGGTGAGGCTGGTCAGGCAGAGAATGGTCAGGTGAGGCTGGTCAGGTAGAGACGGGTCAGGTGAGGCTGGCCAGGTGCCGCTGGTCAGGTGGGGCTGATCAGGTAGAGACTGGTCAGGTGAGGCTGGACAGGTAGAGGCTGGTCAGGTGAGGTGGGTCAGGTGAGGTTGGTCAGGTGAGGCTGGTCAGGTGGGGCTGGTCAGGTAAAGGCTTGTCAGGTAGAGGCTGGTCTTTTTAAAGTACAGTTATTAGACTATTGTTTAGTTTCAGATTTACAGAAAAATGAAGCAAACAGTACAGGGAGTTCCAGATCCCTGCTCCCCTCTCCCCTTTGCATTTTCTCCTACTGTCACCCTCTTACATGCACGTGGCCCATGTCCTGTAACTGACGGACCAACACGGATACATCATTAGTAACCGAAGTCCATACTTTACATGAGGGCTGGCTCTTCGTGTTGTGTGGTCCTGTGGGTTTTGACAAATGCATGATGTCATGTGTTCACCACGACAGCATCGTGCAGAATAGTTCCACGGCCCGCAGAATGCCTGGGCTCCACCTGGTCCTTCCTCTCCCCTCCGCCTGAAGCCCGGCAACCACGGATCTCCTCACCGTCTCCGTGGTTTTGCCTTTGCCGCGATGTCATGCAGTTGGAGTCACACAGCGTGTTGTCTTGTCAGACCAGCTTCTTTCACCCAGCGATGTGCACGGGAAGCTCCTCCATGTCTTTTTGGGGCTTGACAGCTCATTTCTTTTTATCGTTGAAGAATACTTTGTTGTGTGGCTGTACCACAGTGTGTTTATCCATTCACCCATTGAAGGACATCTTGGTTCCTTTCAGTTTTGGGAAATTATGAAAAAAACTGCTATAAACACTTGTGTGCAGTTTTTGTGTGGACATAACGTTTTCAACTCAATTGGGTAAATACTCTGTAAGGTTTTTTTTTTTTTTTTTTCGTTTTCTAGCGAGTCTTAAACTCTTCCAAATTACAGAGTTATTTTACACATGCTAAGGAATTCCCAGGCCTCTGGCTGGATGGGTGGAGGCAGAAGTGGGTGGGGCTGGAGATGGCAATGGGGGAGAGGCATGGGTGGACCGCGTGGGGTTGCGGTGGGCATGGTCCACGCAGCCAGCACAGCAGAGGCTCCGACATCTCCATGCGAGGTGAGAGGCCGCAGTGCGGTGAAGGCAAATGGAGCTGCTCTTTCCTGAGGTGGGACGCGATGGAAACGCAGGTCCAGGCAAGGAGAAGGTAAGTTTGGACGTGAACAGTTGGGTGTGAGGCGTCCGCGGAGCATCCCGGTGGAAGAAGTTCAGCCTGATGGGCCGGATGAGGGTGCTACCAGCAGACAGTCTGAGTCTGGGAGGGAGCCGTGCAGGGGGCTGGGGAGGCAGCTCAGGACAGACCCGGGGTGGGGGGCTAACATGCGGCCAGGCAGGTGGGAGCTCACAGGACAGCTGGGGACCCTGGGCTGGGGGAGCCAAGAATGTTTGCGGACGGAGTATGTTTATTACCAAATGTAATAAACTACAAACTAATAAAGATTAAAAAATCCCATAAAAACTAACCACTTTTGAATTAAAAGAACAAAATTTCGAAGTAACTCAAGAGGCAAATAGAATAGCCAAACTAAATATAAGGTCTGTTTAGATACAAAGGAAAATAAGAACATGCATATATATATAATCTAGGAGCCCTAGTGGCAAAGTGGTTAAGAGCTCAGCTACTAACCAAAAAGTTGGCAGTTCAAATCCATCAGCCACTCCTTGGAAACCCTATGGGACAATTCTACTCTGTCCTCTAGGGTCAATATGAGTCGGAATCAACTTAGTGGCAACGGGTTTGGTTTTGGTTTACGTAACCTAAGGAATAAGGTGCAGCTAAAGCTGTATTCAGAGGAAATTTCATGGCCTTAAAGCTTTTTTAAAAAAAAATATTATTTTATTGTGTTTAGGTGAAAGTTTACACAACAAGGTTCCCATTTAACAATTTCTACACAAATTATTCAGTGATATTGGTTATATTTTGGCCTTCAAGTTTTACTATTACAAAAGAAAGATTTAGTTTTAGCATTTAAGTCAGAGCTGGGGTGGGGGGTGGTGGATAACCTCACAGGACAATTGAAAAATGCAACTAAAAGCTGGTTCTTTGGAAAAATGAATATAATTAGGAAACTACCTTGAAATTCTGTTTCTATAAAAGAAAATTGTCAAGGATTTCATTTTACTTGGATCCATAATCAACTCCCATGGAAGCAGCAGTCAAGAAATCAACCGAAGCATTGCATTGGGCAAATCTGCTGTAAAATCTCTCTGTAAAGTGTTAAAAAGCAAAGATGTCACTTTGAGGACAAAGGTGCACCTGACCCAAGCCATGGTGTTTTCAATCACTTCATATGCATGTGAAAGGTGGACAATGAGTAAGGAGGACCAAAGAATTGATGCTTTTGAACTATGGTGTTGGTGAAGAATAATGAATATAACATGGACTGCCCAAAGAACAAACAAATCTGTCTTGGAAGAAGTACAGCCAGAATGCTCCTTAGAAGGGAGGATGGCAAGACTTCGTCTCACATACTTTGTACATGTTATCAGGAGGGACCAATCCCTGGAGAAGGACACCATGCTTGGTAAAGTGGAGGATCAGTGAAAAAGAGGAAGACCTTCAACAAGATGCGTTGACACAGTGGCTGCAACAATGGGCTCAAGCATAACAATGATTGTGAGGATGGCACAGGACCAGGCAGCGTTTCGTTCTGTTGTACATGGGGTCGCCATGAGTCAGAACTGTCTTGATGGCACGTAACAAAAACGTAAAAGAAATTAAACACAATAGTCACCGTTAGGAATAAAAAAGAGAATAAAATTGTAGATGAGATTCAAGAAGATGCGGCAGAAAAACTGAACAGACCAGTCACTACAGACGAAATTTTAAAGGTGCCGAGGCTCTGCCTCCAACAGTCTGCTGGCCGCAGGTGAGCGATGCAGAACTGCCGAGGGACGGGCGTCCATTTCAGAGGCTAGCACAAACCTGTTGCCAAGATTGAGGGAGGTAATAAAAAGAATAAAACTACAGACCAGTTTACCCTGTGGATATAGATGGGAAGGGGCCGTGGGGGTTCAGTGGCAAGACTCTCGCCTCCCATGCGGAGACCAGGGTTCAATTCCCGGCCAGTGCTCCTCATGCACAGCCACGACCCGTCTGTCAGCGGAGGCCTGCATGTTGCTGTATTACTGAACAGGTTTCAGCAGAGCTTCCAGACTAAGATGGACTAGGAAGAGAGACTTGGTGATCTACTTCTGAAGATCAGCCAGTGAAACCTCACGTATCACAATGGTCCCATCTGCAACTCATCATGGGGATGGCGCAGGACTGGGTAGTGTTTTGCTCTGCTGTGCGTGGGGTCACCATGAGTTGGGGGCTGACTTGATGGCAACGAATGACAATAACACCGACGGTGGGAAATCCTAATTAAATATTAGGGAAGTTGAATCCAGCACTGTTGGGAGCATCAGCTGTGAAGACCAGTCTCAGTTTAGACACTTTCTTCCTCCAGGACATAATCCTGATGGCCCAAAGTGTTCAGGTGCCTCCCCTGGGGCCTGGACCCTGCCCAGAACTTGTCATTCAGCACTTCGTTCCAACCAGCAGGCAGTCTGCTCCCCCAGAGCCACGAGTGCGGAGACTCTCCTAGTCTACAGGGCAGTGCAAAGCACACAGGGCGTTCAGAAGCCTTTGATGAATGAATGAATGGATAAATGACAGACCTTCTGACCCAAATGCATCGCCGGGCTGAAGCCAAGAGAAAACCCACGCCCAAGGACTTACCTCTGCCCCGTGATTTAGCAGCAGGCTTAATGATCCAAATGTTTCGGATGCCGTCGATCTCCGTCTGTGGGTTGACGGCCGTGATCTTGCTAAGCAGAGCCTGGCACTGCGGTAGGTAATTCCTGGAGTTGGGGATGAAGGCATCGCCACTACAAGGCAAAGTCAGAAAGCGGCGGGAGGTGGGGGGCGCCGGGCCCTGGGGGCACTCAGCAATGTGCCAGCAGACGGCCCGCTGGGAACGGGGCGACGGCAGACCTAGAACTTTTGCTCGCCCACCCGGGGACACCCGGCAACACACCCTGAGTCCACTTCCCAGGCACTGAGTTAAAATAACCGAGATGGTGCACAGACTCAAGGAGCTGGGTGCCTGGGGCCATGACAGGCCCCGGAGCAAGGCCCCCAGGTGCCAGCCTGCGCTCACAGCCACCCTCAGCCAGTGCAGGGTCTCCCCAGAGAAACCCAGCACTGCCCACGCCAGCCTGCCCTGTGTCTCTTCAGCCACATGCTGTCCCTCAAAGCTGGTTGTCAGTGCAACCCAAGGCCCCTGTTGGTGGCCGCGCAGATCGTACCCCAGTGAGTGACTTACCGGGCCTTAATGGATTTAAGGGGATACAGAAAAGGCTGATCGGTGCGGCTGTTTCAGCAGCTTTAGTGCTGCTCGGGATGCACTGTCTCTGCCCGGGATAGGGGAACCCATCCAGTGCCACCAGCCACCCACAGGGCCCCACTGGACCCAGGCCACACGTGGAGAAACCCAGTCACACGGGGCTAAGTCCACGGTGCTGGACAAAGCGCTGAAGCAAAGGACGGGGGTCATGGCTGGCTCCAAGGCCACGGGCTGCACTACACCCCCGGAAGGGGGATGCCAAGGTCAGAGAGGGGATACTCCACTACATCTCCTGGGGGTCGGGGACAGTATGACAGGAGCAGTGAGATGACCCTGACCCTGCAGTGGGGGAGGTCCCCTGGCACCGTGGAGCTGGGCTGCGGACAGACGGAAGAGCTGCCGGGGGTGCAGGGCCCTCCCTGGGCGCCTGAGCAGAGGCCGGGCCAGGCTGGTCCACTCTCCCTGGTTCTAACCGGACATGCTGAGTGGGGCCCGCAGGACTGCCAAGGCCCCCTCTGCAGCCCTGCCCTGCAGAGTCCGACCCCAGGACAGGACAAGCGCTCGGCCATCACCAGGACATGGTGGAGGGGGCGCTGGTCCCCACCAGCTCTCTCCACCAGTCCTTCCTGGTTGTGGACTGGCCGCCAACCGTTACAGCTGGGTAAGGCGGGTCACGGAAAGCATCCATGTGCCAGCTGAGACACAGCTGCCCGAGGGGTCCCGCGAGCTCCAGCTGACCTGGATGCTAACACGGCCTCGGCCAGGGCTTGCTTCTTGAGCTCCTTTGGAAGAGAAGCAGCAGCTACCTTCCCGTGGGAGGGAAGCAGTGTTCCCACGGTCCCTCCCCAAGGACACCTGAAGTCCCTGGGCCTGAAGAGGTCCCAGCAGAAGTGGCGTTTTGATGGGAGCACCATCCCATTAGTAAGTGTCCTGTAGTTTCTGCCTCGGAGTCGCTGGGTGGTGCAAACAGTTAACACACTGGGTTGCCAACCAAAAGGTTGGAGGTTTGAGTCCACCCAGAGTAGCTTTGGAAGAAAGGCCTGGTGATCTACTTCCAAACAATCGGCCACTGAAAGCCCTGTGGGGCGCAGCTCTGCTCTGACAAACATGGGGTCGCCGTGAGTCAGAGTTGACACCACAGCGGCTGGCTTGCTGGTTTTGGTCTCTGCCTCCGAGGGAGGTAACGGAGGACGCCAGAGCCACGATGTCCCTGAGACCAGCGAGGAGGGCGCGTGAGCCGGCCACGTTTCAGGAGCCAGCATCAGACACATCCAGTAATCGATAATCGTCGGAGAACAAACTACCGTCCCCGCAGATCTTGGGGTAAGTGAGCACAGCATCCGGGGCTCTCTGGGTCCCTTCTGACCAACACAGCCTCTGGGGGCCCTAAGCCTCCACGCGTAAAGGAGCTGGGAGCAGACTGAGTGGAAAGGGGTCCTTAGCAACTCAGCAGGCTCCACGTGAGGACCACAGCGAGCAAGGGCGGGACGGGCCCCCAGAGCCCACCCCACAGGGCTTGGGCTGTGGGCGCCACGGGGAAGCGTGTGGGGTCCAATGCTGCCACCCTGTGGTGGCTCTGGGCATTTCCTCCCTTCCCTGAGGGATAAGACCCTGTCCTGAAGTAGAGTGCCCGCTTCTCCGCCATTTGGACGTCTTCGTTCTTGAAGCACCTGAACAAGTCTTTGGACCATATTCAACAGGATTGCTTATATCTTCATACGAGCTTATAGACATTCTTTATACTCTCGGGGTGTGAGACTTCTGTCGGAAACGTCGTTGTTGTTAGGTGCAGTTGGGTCAGTTCCGACTCATAGTGACCCAATGAGTCGCTGCTATGTTTGAGTCCATTGCTGCAGCCACTGTGTCAATCCACCTTGTCAAGGGTCTTCCTCTTTTTTGCTGACCCTCTACCTTACCAAACATGATGTCCTTCTCCAGGGTCTGGTCCCGCCTGGTAACATGTCTAAATTATGTGAGATGAAGTCTCGCCATCCTCATTTCCAAGGAGCATTCTGGCTGTACTTCTTCTTCCAGGACAGATTTGTTCCTTCTTCTGGCAGTCCACAGTATATTTAATATTCCTCACCAACGTCATAATTCAAATGCATCGATTCTTCTCCAGGTTTCCTTATTAATTGCCCAGGTTTCGAATGCTCATGAGGCCATTGAAAACACCATGGCTTGGGTCAGGGGCACCTCAGTCCTTAAAGTGACATCTTTGCATTTTGACACTTTAAAGAGGTCTTTTGCAGCAGATTTGCCCAAAGCAGTGCGTTGCTTGACTTCCTGACTGCTGCTTCCGTGGGTGTTGATTGTGGATCCAAATAAAATGAAATCCTTGACAACTTCAGTATTTCCTCTGTTTATCGTGATGTTGCTTATTGGTCCAGTTGTGAGGATTTTTGTCTTCTCTATGTTGAGGTGTAATCCATGCTGAAGGCTGTGGTCTTTGATCTTCATCAATAAGTGCTTCAAGTCCTCTTCACTTTCAGCAAGCTACGTTGTATCATCTGCGTCATGCAGGTTGTTGATAAGTCTTCCTCCAATCCTGATGCCATGTTCTTCTTCATATAGTCCAGCTTCTTGGATCATTTGCTCAGCATACAGGTTGAATAAGTATGGTGAAAGGATACAACCCTGACGCACACCTTTCCTGATTTTAAGCCATGCAGTATCCCCTTGTTCTGTTGGAACAATTGCCTCTTGGTCTATGTTCAGGTTCTGCATGTGCACAATTAAGTGTTCTGGAAGTCCCATTCTTCTCAACGTGATTCATAATTTGTTATGATCCACACAGTCGAATGCTTCAGCATAGTCAATAAAACATAGGTAAACATCTTTCTGGTATTGTCTGCTTTCAACCAGGATCCATCTGACGTCAGCAATGATATCCCTGGTTCCACAGCGTCTTCTGAATCCGGCCTAAATTTCTGGAAGTTCCCTGTTGATAAACTGCTGCAGCCGCTTTTGAATGATCTTGAGCAAAATTTTACTTGTGTGTCATATTGACGATGTCGTTCAATAATTTCCACATTCTGTTGGATCACCTTTCTTCGGAATGGGCACAAATATGGATCTCTTCCAGTCGGTTGACCAGGTAGCTGTCTTCCAAATTTCTTGGCATAGATGAGTGAGCACTTTCAGCATTGCATCCCTTTGTTGAAACATCTCAATTGGTATTCTGTCAATTCCTGAAGCCTCGTTTTCTCCAATGCCTACAGTGCAGCTTGGACTTCTTCCTTCAGTATCGCTGGTTCTTGATCATATGCTACCTCCTGAAGTGGTTCAACATCGACCAATTATTTTTGGTACAGTGACTCTGCATATTCTTTTCATCTTCTTTTGATGCTACCTGTGTTACTCAATTTTTTGCCCATAGAATTCTTCAATATTGCAACTTGAGGCTTGAATTTTTTCTATTTAGTTCTTTCAGTTCGAGAAATGCCAAGTGTGTCCTTCCCTTTTGGTTTCCTAACTCCAGGTCTTTGCCCATTTCATTATAATACTTTGTCTTCCTGAGCTGCGCTTTGAAATCTTCCGTTCAATGTTTTTACTTCATCATTTCTTCTGTGTGCTTTAGCTATTCTATGTTCAAAAGCAAGTTTCAGAGTCTCTCTGACATCCATTTTGGCCTTTTCTTTATTTCCTGTCTTTTTAATGACCTTTTGCTTTCTTCATATATAATGTTCTTGATAATATCCCACAACTCATCTGGTCTTCGGTCATTTGTGTTCAGTGCATCAAATCTATTCTTGAGATGGTCTCTAAATTCAGGTGGGATATACTCAAGGTCATACTTTGGCTCTTGTGGACTTTTTAAAATTTTCTTCATCTTCAGCTTAACTAGCATATGAGCAATTGATGGTCTGTTCTGCAGTCGGCCCGTGACCTTGTTCTGACTGATGATATTGAGCCTCTCCATCATCTCTTTCCACAATATAGTTGATTTGGTTCCTGTGTATTCCATCTAGTGAGGTCCATGTGTATAGTCACTGTTTATGTTGTTGAAAAAAGGTATCTGCAATGAAATCATTGGTCTTGCAAAATTCTATCATGTGATCTCCAGCGTCGTTTCTATCACCAATGTCATATTTTCCAACTACCGATCCTTCTTCTTTGTTTCTAGCTTTCTCATTCCAATCACCAGTAATTATCAATGCATCCTGATTGCATGTTTGATCAGTTTCAGACGGCAGAAGTTGGTAAAAATCCTCGATCGATTTTTTCATCTTTGGCATTAGTGGTTGGCGGGTAAATTTGAATAACAGTCATATATACTGGTCTTCCTTGTAGATATATGGATATTATCCTATTACTGACAGGGTTGTACTTCAGGATAGATCTTGAATTCTTCTTTTTGGTTATGATTGTGACCCCATTCTTCTTCAATTTGTCATTCCCAGCATAGTAGACCATAAGATTATCTGATTCAAAATGGCCAATACTAGTCCATTTCAATTTACTAATGCCTAAGATGGAAACCCTGGTGGGGCAGTGGTTAAGAGCTATGGCTGCTAACTAAAAGGTCAGCACTTCGAATCC